AAATAAGGACTTTCAAAAACCCTACTTAGCAACACTATCAAAACTGTTTAGTACCACTGATAAATTTATATAAGTTAGAACAAATTAAAATATTATATTGAGTAAGTCGTGTTTAGGCCATCTAGCGTCGACTTTACGTACTACTTTGAGCTTATTGCAGTGTCATATTAGCAGTGTCTTATAAATATAGGAAAATAAAGCCCGCAACCCACCTGCAAAGCATGACAACAATAGAAAATATCCCTTATGCGGCAATCTATGGAGTCCTATTTTCAGCAGTGGATTTTGATAGCCTGTAAAGAGTTGGTGCTAAGACAAGTGTATCGAAAAATTAAAGCCTCATCTTCACGAGCTTGTGGAAATCATTTTGAACGCGTGAACGTGCCGCGAATTGTACATTACACTGTAGACAACATCTGTATTACACTGTAAAGTGCAATATATCATATCACTGTAGAGTTTTTGGCGGTTACTTGACCGGCGGCGGATTACTACTCCTGTATTCTTCTTTCAATAATGGTTTGAAGTTGATTTTGATATGTAAAAGTGGTGCGATTTTGTGTATTAAATGTCTGCGTATGTGAACTATAAACGGTGAAACAAGTGCTCCGATGGTGATGTGAATCTCAAAATAAGGTGTCTGTCTGCTTAGGCGCCATGAGATACTATCGCTAACTGTCTGCTGGTTCAAATTGCCGTCAAAATCTCCCAAAAAACTGCTAAATGTCGATGCGTCATCGACATATTATTGTGAAGCAGTGTACTATATAGGATTATTATCACTTGGTACTGAGATAAAAGAAGACATGGCTTAAAGGATAAGCAGCCAAGCCAAAAATCTTAGTAAAAACATATCACTGTAGAGTCACAGCGGTGACACTCTCTGTACGTGAGAGTTGAAGCGCCGGTGACATTAGTCCGGAGCGTGTAACGCTAGGGTTGATACCGAACCGAAATGGAATATTATAGACTTGTGCCAAAGAAGATACATAGTAGGTATATGTTATATAATGTGAACGGAAATGCCTTTTCGCCGAAAATTGTTTGGCAGATTATCACTTACGAACTAACGTTTCGCAGAATTTTATTTCGCCGAATAATCATTTGCCAACTTATCACATAATCTTGTTTTATTTTCCAATCAAACAGTCGCCAACTGTACGTTTGGTCTGCCTTTTATAATGACACTTTTAAAAAGGCCAACTTTGAAGTAGTGAATGTTTCAGTTAGAGTAATATTCATTTAGTTGTATATTGTTCACCAAATGATGTATTAAGTAAGGTTTTCCATAATTATTTTTCTAATGTAGCACATATTCAAGTGCCCTGTGTAGTGAAACAAAAGCGATTTGGTTGTGGTACTTCGCCGGACGCTGCCGCGGCACGCTCGCTTCGCTCGCTCGGCTCGTGCATTGTTGGTCGAAGTTCTAATCTAACCTAACCAATTCATTTCGATTTCACCTAAACTTCGTTTCACACTTTGAAATTTTGCAAATTACATATAAAAATTAGTTTATTTTTTCTCATAATATAAATGTACGAAAAGGGAACTGTTACACAGACTAAACGTTATTCGTCTAAAAGTTGTATGGCCTAGTAAGGATTGGACAAATGGTAAGTGCCCTGAACGTGTTGTGTCATTATAATCAGCTTAACAATAATTCTACCAAATGAAACATTGTCATACAAAAATTTGACAATCGTTTGTTGTCAAAGTGAAAAATAGGCGAACCGTTGGTTGGCAAGTGATAATCGGCGAAACAACTTTCGGCGAGAAAGCAGGATCCCAATGTAAACTTATGTATTTAAATAGTGAATATTAGGATCAATTTTAAATCAACTTTTAAATTATTTTACAGATGAGGAAAATTAAAATTTCAGACGAAGAATAGATAGATATATAGATAACACTTAATTGTACGCCAAAAAATAACATAAATATTAACAAAAAATGAGAAAAATAAATGTGGTATAATGGATGGTCTTATCGCTAAGAGAGATCTCTACCAGAGAACTTGGGATGGACAGGATTGCAAGAAAACAATAAAAGTACATAGATAAGATAAATACATACATACATATTAATACATATATATATATATATATATATATATATATATATATATACATTTTTTCATTTTGATTTTAATTGTAATTTTTATTTTACAACTGTTTGTTGTCCTTAATAAAAAAATATAAATATATATTTTTATAGCTATAACTATATTAAATTACAAATATATACTTTCAAACTGTTATATATAACATAAATGTGCCATATATATAAATAAATATTTTAACTAAATAAAGGTAGAATAATTATATACAAATTAATAATCATTATTTTTGTATAAAGCGCAGCCCTCAGCTAAGGCAGTCGGCGACGGCCCGTTCCACGCCCCACGCGCCTATCATGGCGCCCGCACACATCCAGACACACACAAGTGATTTTACGTGCACACATGCTTAAGTGTCGTTTCTTTTCGCATAGTGTATATATTCTTTGGTAGAGTGTAATAATAATTATAAAGAAAATCGTCTATATTATTCTGTACAGTGTGTGAGTATATTTTTTATTAGAAACTATACTACATTCAAAATTTTATCTCCCATTTTTTACCCATTACTGGCATCATCCTTGAGGTATAGTCTATTCAATAAAGAAGAACTTCTTGAACCTCTTGTTTCGAATTCGGTCCAAATAGAATAGAGGGGAAACACTAAGTCAAAAATCGATGTTTTTCGACCCTCAATACATAGGACTGCACATAATTCGTTGTAAACTTTCTAACGATTGTTTTAATATTTTTGAGATCTTGGGTTTCTTGCTGGGTTTCCCAGTGGTAAATTGAAAATTATACTTATTTTGTATGTTTTTTGTATATTTTTTACAGATAATATCGAAAACATTTTGTTCCCATGCCATCGGTAATTTCCATTGCTAAATTAAAAAAAAATATTTTATTTTTTATCTTATATATTTTTACAGATAATATCAAAAAGAAGTTGTATTTATTTTAAACTAGCGACTACAGTGTGTTGCATGTTATCAATTTTTTTTTTATAAGCTCCAGTTTTTTTTAAATATAACCTAGAGATCCCTCCCATCCTTGTAGCTCTCTATCCGTTCGTAAAGTTTCATTAAAATCGGTTTAGCCATTCCGAGGACTAGCCCCTACAAACAGGCATAAAAATTAAAATGTTTATTTATGTCTTAATAGTATGCAATCCCTCACTCCCCCACCGCCGAAGCTTAATAAAAGCCATTTATTTTATATGAGAGACAGATATTAGAGACAGACTACCATTATATTTATATATATAATAAACCTGTATAGTTGAAAAAGTTGGCAACCCTAATCACAGCCTCTGCCTAGCCTACCCTAATAGTCTGTGTGCTCGTTTGTCATATCTACCTGTAAAAATATTAATATTTAAAAAAAAAAAAACTGGTCTTATACTGGTCCGTTGCCAAACTCTGCTAAATCACTTTTTGTTCTTTCCATTTCAAAATGCTACCAATAAATTTTATCTTTATGTGACACTGGGGTACTTAAATGAAGATTCATAGGCTTTAATTAATCGCAAACTTGGCCTTAAATCCGCAGCCGCTTTTACAAACTTTCATGATTTTCAAATGGACAAAATCTGTCGTGAACTTTGTAAAAGCGTCCGATTGTCGTTTTAAAATAAACGCCTTACGTCCTAACATTAGATTATTAATACAAATAAATAAAATTGAAGTGTCTGTTTGTAATGTCAAAATAACAGCTTTTTACTAAATGCATACGAAAGTGCATACGGTACTTATAACAAAAACACAATTTTTAAATATTTTTTCTGTCTGTCTGTTTGTTCCGGCTAATCTCTATTCTGATTTTGACGAAATTTTCACTGGAAGATAGCTGATATTACAAGGAGTAACTTAGGCTACTTTTATTTTAGAAAAATAATTAGGGTTCCGCGCAAAAAAATTAAAACCCATGATATCCAATCGTAATAAATTACACGCGGGCGAAGTCGCGAGGACTAGCTAGTTGCAATAATAAAACGCACAGATAAAAATCTTTTTTTTCTAAATCTAAGATGACATGATCGTATTATGAATAATACTATCATATGATGATAGATTTAGAATATATATTATTCACACGACATCTAGATGGTAGGACAAGTTTTTTGCTTCGGAGGCATGTATCTATTTCTGCAGCAGTGCATAGTTTCAGGGGTAGTAGAGGATATACTTATATGCTATGAGGGTGTGAGACATTCCAGGCTTTCCATCGTAGTCCTCAGATTTGGTAAGGTATCTGTAGCCTTCTTTGTTTTTAAGTTATTTGCAGGTAGCCATGGCCTGCATTAGTTGCTTTCCATCAGAGAGGCTATAAGTGTAAGTGTGTTTCTCACTTCAATTTTATGAAAAAAGAAACTTTATAACGTCCAAATGAATCGTAGAGAGAGAATAAACTCCCTCTACGAAATGAATTAAGTGTTACATAATTTAAAAGTTTTTTAAGTTAGACTATAATTATGACAAAAATTTACGAATAAAAATTTAAAAGCTTTGTACACCATTAAGTTTAATAGAATTAACAAAAAATACAAAAAAAAGTAGAGAGGTTAATGTTGCGTGATGAACAAAAAATAAATAATACGATACAGTTCGTTGACGCTTGTAAGTGCGGGTGATAGCGCCTGCCACAAAAGAATAGTAAATAAATACACTCGCGCTGGATTGCTCACAAATTATACGGGCGCTTGTTCGCTCTCGAAAAACTTTAATAATCTTTTTGTTATAGGTTAAATATTATTGGTGTTTTTGGTGATGTGGAACAATAATAAAATAATGGCAAGAATTATTGCAGTGTGTCATATTAGGTATGTAAAAATAAGTTATTACATAAGCTAGAAAAATTTATTACCACTAGAAAATGGGTATACGAGGGTGGATTGATAAGTTTCCGGCCTGACTAAGAAAAACAACGTTATTTAATTTTTTTTTTATTTCTCAACATAATCTCCTCCAAGGCTGATACATTTCTCATAGCGGTGTTCCAGTCTATTAATGCCATCTCTATAGACTGATTCGTCAAGCTCCTCAAAATAACCATTTACAGCTTCGATTACTTCGTTATTGTCCGCAAATCTCTTACCGCCAAGCCATTTTTTGAGGTTAGGGAACAGAAAATAGTCACTCGGGGCTAGGTCTGGAGAGTAAGGAGGGTGCGGCATCAATTCAAACTTTAGATCGTTGATTTTAGCCGTCGCAACGATTGACGTGTGTGCTGGTGCGTTATCGTGATGAAACAAGATTTTTTTCTTCGCAAGATGAGGTCGTTTAATTTTCACTTTGTGGCTCAAACGTTGCAATAAGTCGGCGTAGTATTGACCAGTGATAGTTTTACCCTTTTCAAGGTAATCAATGTATATAATACCTCTTGCATCCCAAAAAACAGCAGCCATAACTTTGTTCGCCGAAAAAATTGTTTTTGCCTTCTTTGGTTCCCCTGGTCCAATCCACTGTTTAGACTGTTCTTTGGTTTCAGGAGTGTAGTGGTGGACCCAAGTTTCGTCAACGGTTACGAATCGACGCAAAAATTCGCTTGGATTACGCTTATACAATGACAAATTTGCGGTAGAAATGTTTTTTCGAATCAATTTTTGGTCGACTGTTAGCAAACGCGGCACCCATCTTGCACAGAGCTTTTCCATATGCAAATGTTGGTGCAAAATATGATGGACACGTTCATATGACATCTTACAGGTCTCAGCTATCTCACGCAGTTTCAATCTGCGGTCTCCCAGCACTATTTGATGAATTTTTTCGATCATATCTGGAGTTGTGACCTCAATGGGGCGTCCTGAGCGAGGCTCATCAGAGGTGCTCACACGACCCTTTTTAAACTCGGAAACCCACTGCTTAACGGTTGAATATGACGGGGAGGATGTCCCCAGTGTTGAGTCCATCTCTTCTTTAATTTCCTTCGGCGTTAACCCCTTCAAATAAAAGTATTTGATGACAGCACGATTTTCCTGCTTTTCCATTTTTACGAAAAACACAGAGGCGTCTTGTTCAGCGTGCTCTCAAACCTACACTAGCAAGGCGATCGGGCTGAAACTATAGCTACAAGCTATCCAAGGATGGTACTATAGAATGTCATCTTAATGTAGGCCTAGTGGCGCCATCTCTTGGTCAGGCCGGAAACTTATCAATCCACCCTCGTATATCGTTGAAAGAAGTTACGCTATACTATTATATAGCAAGCCAATTATGCTCGTATAGTTATAAAGGTTATTTCGTAATTTATAGATATTTTTATTAAATATAAGCCATGCCTGCCCTGCTGGAAGGTCTTGCGCTCCTGCCGACTTAAAAATTGCCCCTGCTTGCCTACACACATCACAATTAAGGAGGCAATTAAGGGTCATCCCCACTCTTACACCCTAGATTGCCCCTGCGGCAAGCATGTCCGCCTTAAGCCGGCTACTCACTTGCCTGCCGCAGAGGCAATCTAGGGTGTAGGAGTGGGGATGACCCTTAAAGGCGGCTACTAAAGGCTGCTACTGACATGCCTGCCGCAGGGGCAATCTAGAGAGCACAGCGATCGGAGCAATATCGGAGCTGTCTCTACATACATGCCTGCCGTTCAGTATGAGAGTGTACGTCTCGCTGGACGCACGCGTTTAGAATGGCCCCAGTTTTATCGAAATATCAATAATCAATAAATCGGTATATATAGCCTTGGCTCTTTTTTTATATAGAATAAGGGTGACAAATGAGCACAGTCAACCTGATGGTAAGTGGACACTGTGGCCCATAGACACCCACATTTATCAATAAAACAACTAATTAATTAATAATTACAACCATAATATAGTGCTTATAAGCTGCAGCATAGCTCTGCCACGCTATTTTTAGGCTATCAAAGACAATTAAATATGACTAACTTCACTCTTCATAATTTAATATAACCAATTTATTCTGTGACTAGCTGTACCCCGCGACTTCGCTCGCGTGTACTTTTTTTTTACGTGGAACCCTAATTTTTTTTCTAAAATAGAAGTAGCCTAAGTTACTCCTTATAATATTAACTATCCGCCGGTGGAAGTCCCGTCAAAATCGATCCAGCCGTTTAGGAGATTAGCCGGAACAAACAGACAGACAGACAGACGGACAGACAGACAGACAAAAATTTAAAAAATTGTGTTTTTGTTATAAGCATATAGTATATACTTTCATATGAATTTAGTTAAAAGCTGTTATTTTGACATTACAAACAGATGCTTCAGTTTTATTTATTTGTATAGATGTATAGATATAACTTAACTAACCAGTGCTTAGTAACTATAATTTAACTAGTGTTACAAATAGCCAGGATAGTTTTCTAATGATGAGTTTAAATAAATTTAATTACTAAAATTTGTAGTTTTGTTTAATTACTTAGTTAATGACATTTTATTTATATTTCAGCAATTTTAATACTATTAGAATATTTTATTTCCCATACTAGCCCTTATGATCAGTTAGGTAACAAATCCCAGTAATGTTATTCTTTCTGCGGCGCTAACGTAAAAAAAAGACAAAAAGGAGATACTTGGTGAAGAAGCCGCTCTTTATACACTTCTATCACCAGTGTCCAAATTTCACAGTCTTTATTGTATCCATTGTGACTTGTACTCACACGTGTGCTCCGCGCGAATGTCGCAACGAATTAAAATGCAGATGCGTTGTCACCCGTGAGGACTAAGATGGAATGCCTCGTTTCCAGTAAAAAGGGTCTCCGGTTCTCTACACTCACCATACGAAACGCAGCAGCATTAAGCTGTTATTTTATACTGGTATTCTGTGAAAGCGTGGTCCTTTCCCGATCGAGCCAACCCATTCGTGCTATTCTAGCGTGAAATACCGCAGAACCTTCCCAAGGACACCTAGCTTCCTTGCAGTTGTTTTGATCAGAAAGCCCAAATTAAAGTTCAAATAAATCTCAACCCTTAATAACTGAAGACATTCTATTTACTCCAAAGATATATCCCGGAAACTATGAACCAGAGTAAGGGGACTTCATTCTGCGGTGAAGAGACACGCTTGGAACGAAGTTACTTATTATTGATAAACGTATTTTATTATTGACTAGCTGTCCCCCGCGACTTCGCTCGCGTGTTAGAATTTTTATGTTTTTGTGCGGAACCCTAATTATTTTTCTAAAATAAAAGTAGCCTAAGTTACTCCTTATGAAATCAACTATCTGCCAGCGAAAATCCCATCAAAATCGATCCTGCCGTTTCGGAGCTTACCCGGAACAAACAGACAGACAGACAGACAAAAATTTTAAAAACTGTATTTTAGTTATAAGTACTGTATTTACTGTCATATGCATTTAGTAAAAAACTGTAATTTTTAACTTATTTAATTAACAAATAAAAATAAATGTTTTATAAGCGTCTATAAAAATAAAGCGTCATTTAAAATAAAATACACTATAACACAAGGGGTAGTGACGAAAAAATCTTACACTTTTTGTCGCATCCGCCAAACCCGTACCGTCCGATAAGGAACTTCGTTTCAATAAAAAAAAAATTAATTCATTCTGTCATTGATTACAGCACCAAAAGTCTGTGTGCTGTAAAACACCCGAAACATCGGGAAATAAAGTTAAGTAAATTAAACGTGATAAAATCCGTAAAAAGTGGTTTTAATCAATGTGTAGTGTTCACGTAAGTATAAGAAACTATTAATTATAAATTGTTAATAAATAGATATAATTTAAAATTAAAAAATTTTGTACTACCGACTTCAATATAAATTATTAAGAATAACTCAAAAACTATAAGTCAGACCTTGATCAAATTTATATGAGACTACATGAGAAGCACCAGCTTTCAAATGAAAAAAGAGTCAACGAAATCGGTTCACCCAGAAAAAAGTTAGTGACACCCCTCTCACCGCAGCCAACCGACACGCATCCGAAGTGGGCTCGTCAAGCCCACTCGGAGTGGCCACCTCGGGCCGGCCCTACACCACGGGCCAGCCAAGGGGTTCCTCTTTGTTCACCGCGGTTGACCAAGCCACGGCTACTAAGCCCCCCCGCCACGACAAGGCGGGAACCCGTTTGGGGGGGATGCATGCCATGCTAACCTAACCTAACCTGTAATTAATACAAAATTTAGTTCTTAATTATAGAATATAAGTATTGTAATATAACAAATAATGTATGTCTTGTTTGTTATCCTTAATAAAATCTTCTACACGACGTCTGTCTGAACACGCATCACGCAAAAACCTGGGAACAGATTTGGATGGGATAGGATATCTTTTTTATTTAATATAGATCAATGTGTAATTGTTATTGAAAGTCAGTTTTTACTTTACCACTGGTTCAAAAAAAACCCTCTCAAAAAAAACTGGTTTGAAAAAAAGTCCTGGGAAACACCAGCAAGAAACCCAGCAGGACTTTTTTAAATAGACATATGGGCATATAGTTGATGTTATAAGGAGTAACTTAGGCTACTCTTAATTTAGGGTTCCGCGCAAAAAAAATCTACAGCTAAGTAGCTACAGCTACAGCTAGTAAAGAAATAAATAAATAAAAACAACAAAATCATGTTTAAGAGAATACTTGTTTACACATTGGAGTAAAGTTTTACAAAAACCTTTAATTGAGAGTCTCTTGAAAACGACCCGCAAACTGTTCTCGGCTAATTTAACTTGAAACTTACTCTGGGAATATTAGCCAACCGATATTCTGCAACTAGTGGATTAACTTCGAACTGCTCGAGGCTGTGTTCTGGAGAGATATTTATTTAAAATGTACGCAAGTCGGTTTCATCTCGATTTTAAGTTTATTACGGTGCTAATGAATCAGATAATTATCTTTATTATTATCATTTCAGCCTATCGCAAATCCACTGTTGAAAGTCCGCCGTCTAAAGCACCTGTCCTGAGTTACCTGCATCCATCGACTTTCTGAATCTCTTACCCGGTGGTCACTCTATCTAGTGATATTTAGAATATTTTAATGAATATACTAATAAATATAAAGATCAGCGTCTAGAAGCAGCGTCGAAGGTACGAAATTTTTATTATATATGATTGGTACTGCAATCATCATTACGTCTGCCAAGCGTGACTATACTCGTAACCTCATAACCCCCTTTAACGAAAGTAACCTATTTAATGCGCTGTTATACCGTCCTTTTTTGGTTATAGAATGGGGGGTGACACACGAGCACACATCCCACCTGATGTTTAATGGATGCTGTAGCCCATAGATATTTACAACTATCCTCCATTAAGAATCAAAATGCAGATGCGATGCCCTGAGGACTAAGATGGAATGCCGTGTTTCCATAAAAAGGGTCTCCGGTTTTCTACACTCACTATACGAAACACAGCAGCATTTAGCTGTTAGTTTACGTTGGTATTCTGTGAGAGCATGGTCCTTCCCCGGTTGAGCTGACCCATTCGTGCTACAACCATAATAATATAGCTGAAGCATGGCTCTACCATGTATACAATCGTTTATCAATTGCGGTAAAACTTTGTCGACTTATTACTCACACTTGCGCGGAGGATATAGGCATAGTAGAATTAACTAACAGTAGATGGCTCGCGTATGGTACCGACAAATTTATTTGAAAGTATATTGTTCAACTTTAATGAATTTATTATAATTCCCAATTAAAAAATATACCTCTTCCAAATTTAAAATTATATTTCCACAATTATTTCTTCCGTGGCAGTAACGCGCCAGGTACCAGCTAGTATTATATAAATAAAAATAAACTATCGGTAAATCCATTTTTTTTTTAAATTGCATGCCTTAAGCGCATTAAAAATTACGTATAAAATGATTAAACGTAAAATTTTAAAGTAGTTTAACTACACACAAGTTTTCACTAAAAATCTGATAATTATTACTATACTTCCAATTTTCCTATAACTTTATGTCAAATTTTAATTTAAAAAAGTGCTTGGAAAATCTAAAATCGCACGACTCATAAGATCGTAAAAAAAATATGTAAATTATAATTCTATTCGTTAAAGA